AAATTGCCTATAGATCATCACACAGAGCTCAAGATGGGGAGAAGGTGATAAACGTCACCATCTAAGTTGCAGAGGAAACCATCCAAAGATCAAAAGAAACAGTCTTGCTATCTCGCACGCGAGATAGTGTTGACTATCTAGTACGCGAGATAGTGATGACTGTCTCACAAGCAAAACAGTTCTGAAGGGTTCAAAACCGCTAAAGCAAATGCATGACACGTGGCTATTAACTGTTAAAGAACGTGGAAGACGTTGTGGGTGAGAATCACGTCGATAACTACCAAAATAACTGAGTTTAAAATATGGGAGAGCGGTTACAGAAGAAACTACTGGGTAGTTCAGGCTTTCCGAGACAGTCATGGCTGGCACAACTGTCTCGGCCGCCGAGACAGTCCCAACTGTCTCGCAAGCACAAATCCCCCATGACATTTTATTTTCAGTTAAACTTTTCTAGGGGTTATAAATACCCCCTTGGACCATTACTGATAGAGACCCGGGCACAGAGAGCAAATAGAGCAGAAAGACTTGAGCTTTTGGTGAATTTGAGAAAGAGAGTGAGTCTTCACAAACTTTAAAAAGGCTTTTGGTGATTCCTTGAGATCTAAGCTTTAACTTGATCTTAAGAAGAGTGTTCATCTTACTTCGATAAGATATTCACTGATTTCATTCTTGCTTCTAAACGAAGGAAGAATATCCAAAGCCTTCACGATTCAATCAGAACCTGTGATTTGGTGGTCCATGGGCTAACGCACCCCCGGCACAGGCAAAGTCGCTACAAAATCAGAAGTCAATAAATGATTCTTGTGTTATTTTCTAAGAAATTATAGTTTTGTTTATTTTGTTGTGTAATTCATTATAAACGACTGAAGTTTTATGGATTTCATAATGAAGATAATTTCTGACGAAAATAAACTGGCGACCACAGTGCGAGCCAACGGTTGCACTGTCGAGACCGTCGTGTCGCAGCCGATCAAGATACCAATTAAAACCACGATCGAGTACGAATTTGACTAAGCGAAGTTTGAGGAGTATTTTTCGTCCTCATCTCCAAAATATTTATCGCCTCACAAATATAGGAAGATTTCGTCTTCTAAGAAGGTTTTCAAGTTTTTGACGCCATCGAATGCTACGGGTGAAGACTCTCGCCTGATTGTGTAGGCGTCAAAAATTGCCTATGAGTTTCCACATGTAGCTTAAGACAAAGAGAACATAATGAGCGTCATCATCCTAGTCAAAGAAGATTATCAAACGCTGATAAGACGCATGAAGCAAATCGGTAAAACGCATAAGTCAACAAAGTGATGAAACATGCATAAAAAAGGGAAAACAAGCAAACCGAAGGAGATACAAATAGCCAAAAGGGTCAAAAAACACAACTATAGGCCAGGAGAATCGCACGCATGCGAGTCACTAAATGGTGGTTCGCACGCATGCGAGTCACCAAATGGTGACTCTCACCTGCGCGAGTCACCAAATGGTGACTCGCACCTGCGCGAGTCACCACTCACCTGCGCGAGTCACCAAATGGTGACTCGCACCTGCGCGAGTCACCAAATGGTGACTCACACAACTCTAAGCCACCACGACTATTTGGGCCTCCCAAACTCCCAAAACACGGTTTTTGATATTTTATTAGAATTATTTCGTCCCAGGACCTCCCTAATTATTCTGAAGCTATCCTTAAGTGCGCCTGGGCGGTTATCAACTGCAGATAACGTTAAAACACTTGATCTTATCTGAAAACATGGCGACAAAAGCCTATAAATAGAAGCCTTGGGTCTTCAGTTGAGAGGATCTGAAATTTGAGGGCGAGGTGCTGTCAAATTGAGCAGTAAACAACGAATTTCAGAGGAGAATTGGCAGGTCTTGGCGAACTTTTTCATAAAGAAAAAGCCTTCGAAAGATTTGTGATTCTCTCCCCCTCTTTCCTCTGGATCAAACCTAGTTTTGATCTCGAGAAGAGCCACAATCTCGCTTGGTCGTGATTATCACTGCTGCGATTGTTTCCTTCATGAAACAAGAGCATAATTACATTTGTCAACCGAATCTGATCCTCAGTGGTCCACGGACTAACGCATCCCCAGTACAGGCAAAGATCCCGCACAAAGCAACAGGAGATAAACTACTACTGCGTTTTGTTTCATAAAGTTGTAATCTTTACTTTTCTCATTGTAAAGAGATCTTATAAAAAGATCAACTTGAACTTGTAATCGATAAACAGTGTAACAGGTTCGAAAGCAATGGAAACGACAACTTTTGACAAAAATAAACTGGCGACAATAGTGAGAGCCGACGGCCTTTCTGTGAAGATTGTGGTGTCACAACTAAGGATTCTCATCTCGGTTGACAAAGAGGTCGAATACGAGTTCGACCAACAGAAGTATGAAGAGTATATGTCTTCCTCCTCCAGATTATCTTCTCCTCAAAAGAGTAAGAAAATCTCTTCCACAAGGAAAGTTCGATAGTCTTCAGATTTGAAGACCCAAGATGATGACCTCTGCCCCATCATTACTGCAGTTACATCTCCCAATGCTCTTATGATGCCTGAAGAAGTGGGATCTTCAGATCTGATTCCCTCCTTGGTCAAGGAGCTTACTGCTGAAAGCGTGCTAACTCTATCCAAGAGGGCATGTCAAAGACAACGTCAACGCCTTACACGCCAACTCACTAAGGCTTTGGAACCAGTTGACGTGATCCTTTATGAGGCGGACCTGAGGTTTAGGAACCGCCAAACACCACGACAGCAAGCGAGTATCTTTTCCTTCAAACCAGCAACGGATGAGTGGGTCCGCGTCAAAAGGACCCGTTCAACCCTTGAGGAACGCATTCAGAAATGCCGCGCATTGCTCGTGCATGCAAGAATCCTTATGCAAGAAGCCAAGAAACTACAGAAAGAAGAGGTGGCCCAAAAACCACCAAAACTACGCAAAGTATGGAGGAAAAAGGGCAAAAAGACACCTGAAATAGTCGAAAAAAAAGAATTTACCATGTACTGACTCGGCCAACATTGAGTCATCACCTACTGACTCGGTCAAGGCCGAGTCATCACCTACTGACTCGGCCAAGGCCGAGTCACCATTTACCATGACCGAGTCACCAAATGGTGGCTCGCGCCACCTCCGAGCCACCGAGCCCTATTTTCCTCCTATTTCAACTCCTATAGTCCTTTTTGAGCCTTCAATGCCCCTTGTTCCCATCACAACAAGTTCCACACCTCCCTTGAAGCTTCATGATAGCCTGGACTTATCCATATTCAAAATGAAGATTACAGATCGTCTTGATCATTTGCACGAAGACCGAGGCAAAACTCTAATTAAAGAACGCTTGGGTCCGACAAGTGAATCCCAAACTACTCGTCAGACTTAGGGTAGTACGCGTCTTTCCAACAAGTCAAAGGCCTCTCATGTCAAGAAAGTACCTTTCACCGCTTGCCTTGGATTGCAAGTTGAAGTCCAAGAGTCCGCTAGAGCCTCGTGCTCACAAAGGCGTGATTCTGAACGAGTGACTCTTGAGAATGCTAATGAAGCATTATATCCTCAAAAAGAAGCGTATTCGTCAGAAGACGACCACGTTAAACCGGGAAAATCATACCCACACACGATAGGTTGCTTCGATGATCACATCGATAAGTTGTACTATCAGGCTGGGGGTACACACAAATCTCAAAAGAGAAATACACAGGAAATGAATTCCCACTATCCATGTACCAAGCTCATTAAGGCAGTATTATCAGAATGTAACTGCCTCAAAACCACTCCACAAAGGGTCTCAGTTTTTGAAAGACTTTCTACCAAAACGTCAAGGACCATGTCAAGGCGTTTCCTTAAAAGAAGGCCGTTTGTTCAAGACGATGAATTTCCAGAAGTGTCCACCAACATGACTTGTAAAGAGAAGGTGACACGACATGACGCTTCAGTCCTGAACTATTTGCAGAAGTATCACAGCGCATGACTTGGCTACAGTCTGGAACTGTCAGACCTAGACCCAGGAGGTCACGGTCCTCAGAAGATGAAACTTCAGATTCTTGCTCTGCGCTGGCTTCTGATGATACGAAATCTAGTGTGGGACAATCCTATGAGTCATTTATGATCAGCACAGAACAAATGACTAAAATTCTAGAGGATGCTCTAGCCAAGCAAAAAGAGAACTTTAAATTTGAAATGGAGATGGCTATGCAGGAGATGAGAGATATGCACCGCCAACAAATTGTGGCACTGACAAATCAGCAAGGAGAGTCCAACCGACGTAATAATCCCAACCAAGTTGATAGTGATCAAGAAGTAGACGAGAATATCAACATCGATAAACCTCTTGTTGACAACAATACTGGGGTTGGTCCCTCGGGTAATAACAATGCAAAAGAGGACTATGTCATTTCCCTTAGAGATGTTAAATGAGTGGGTATGGGTTTAAATGGGCGGGCCATAAATGGGCGGGCATGTTTTGCCCATTTACCCATTTATGGCCCATTTAACATTATTTAAATGGGCGGGTTTTTACCCGCCCATTTAATAAACGGGTCGCCCATTTGCCCATTTAACTATAGTACATATATATGTATAATACTTTTGGGGTGTTTTTTGTAAACTTTTAAAAGGTTTTTTGTAAACTATTGCGGGCTTTTTGCAAACTTTTTGGGAGCTTTTTGCAAACTTGTTGGGGCTTTTGATAAAATACTAACAAAGATAGGAACATAAACAAAGATAAACAAATGCAGAAAAATTCATGATTAAACCATTTACAAGCCTGGATAAAAGTACAGACCTCACACATTTGCAAAATTAACCTCAAATTTCCAAAGCAAAAACCAAAAGATCAATAACAACAAAATTGCGAGTATATTTAAATGAATTAAGATAGAAAAAAAAAGGTATGCAAGGATCTGTATAATATCAATAACTTGATATAAATGCCATCATAACTATCAGCAACACGATCACGATTAGTAAGGACAATCTACTTAATTACTTGATAAACTAGAAGAGTGGTAAGTTCGTCTATAAACAAAATAGTAGCACAACCATAGTCTACTTATTTCCCATCTTTCAAATGTTCAGGCATGAACAGGATCATGACAGAAGAAAGAAAAGACCAGGAAACAAAGATCAAAAGAGAGGGATTTTACGAGAAAGTAAATCTTAGCCCCCAAATTGACAATGCTGCGACTGACAATAATCACAACGCAAGGAAACAGTATAAACATTACAGAATCAACCAAAATCAACCAAAATAACTACAGTTATAGACGTACTACTAGCTCACAAATTCAAGGTTCTCTGCAGCATCAGCAACAACTGCTTCGGCAGCAGCAGCTTCAGCAACTTCAGCAGCAGCGCTTGCTTTCTCGTCAGAATTCATCTGTGCCATTTATTGAACAAATTCAAGGTTCTCTGCAGCATCAACAGTCAGTTAACCAGTATATGCCAGAGTTGGAGCAATTTTTGAAACTTCAGTTAGAGGAGCAACATCATCTTCAACAGCTGCAGCAGTAACAAGAATTGCATCAGCAACAACAGCAACTTCAGCTCCAAATGCAACTAAAAATCATGAAACTTTACTTGGTTAATTGTTCAATTTTCGAACATTTGCTGCAGCAGCAGTTGAATGACCCTGTTTATCAACTTAGTTAAGTGTTACGCGGCATGAGTCATAAGAACATTTCATATATAAACTATTAATGAGATTGCTAAGTCAAACTATCAAATTAAACAATTAACCAAGTAAAGTTCATGAACCATGGGAACTGTATTAATATATAAAGAACTTAATATTTGTAATCTCATGATTTAAGGCTGTGTTTGGGAATGCTGATTTGGGCTTGGATTTGAAATTCTGGGTATTTCAAATCCAAATTTCACGTTTGGGCTCAACTTTAGGCCATGATTTCTAAAAGGAGAAAAGTCATTAACTTTGTTTGATGAAATTGGTGAATGAGAATAGTAGTTGCCGCATTGCTGACTGCTTCAGTAGCTAGGACATCAGAATTCATTTCCACTTCTGAACTGTTGATAAAAGGAATATTTTGAGATTGGTTCTCTTATCAGTAGTATTGTTGAGTCTTATGCTTGATTGTTGTTAAAGCATGATTCATGTATGTAACAACCATTTCTTTGCTCTTGTAATCTCGGAAGATTAACTTAAGCTCATCTTTGTATTTTTTACAGGTTTTCTGGTGTCTGATTCTATATGTGGATACTGAGGAAAGTGCATTACAGTTTCTACTGTTATCAGAAACCTGAACACATGCAACTCGTGTTACTTCTAAATCATCAGGGAATCACTGTTCTCGCTGTGCTTCCATAGATTTTCTTTTCTTTTCTTTTTTCTCTGAGAGGTGATCTTGTAATACCGAAATATTGTCAACATTTTACTGTAACTATTTATGCATGTAATCAAGTTTATTTCCCCATCACATTTCGCTTACTCTCTATATCAGGTTCCTCTTGACTGTTTGTGTCTGGTTAGTAGCATAAAATTACATGTTTTGATCTTCATATACTGTTGTATATGTTTGTCTGTTTTGTTTTTTTTAATAGCAAATAGAGGTGTTCATTATTTAATAAAAACTATTATTTATAATGGTTACTGCAGTTGGTATTGGTGAGTTTATATGGATGAGTTTTGGATATTTTGAAAATTAAGGTTCCAAACAGCTTTTTTTTTAATTTCATTTCTTTATTGGATGTCTGCAAGTGATAAGAACTGAAATCAACATGAACTTATTTAGAAAACTAATGCATCATCATTTTCATCAATTTTAAATTCAATTTCATGTATAATAAAGTTTCCAAACACTAGATTTTGAAATCAAAGATTTCAAATCCTTTCATTTAATAAAGATACCCAAACAAAAGATTTCTTAAATCATGGATTTCAAATCCTAAATTTAAAATCCCTTGATTTTAAATCAACTTTCTAAATCCAAATTCAAGTTTCCAAACACAGCCTAAGGGAAACCCTTCTTGGTATTTGTACGTGTAGTGTAAAAGTGAGGCAAAAGCTCAAAAATTTTGCTTACTCATATACTAATTAATTGTAGGATTAGTTGAACATACAGTTGATTTTTTTTTCTAATTGATCAATTAATATTCCTGAAATCTATAAATCTCAGTATTCACACTTTAAATCATGAAACAGAGACAACATGTCTCTCTCAGTTTCATTGTTAAAAACTTTCTAGGAATATGACCCATCAAACTATAAAAATTTCCCCAATCAAATACTAAATGATAAAATTCTAAATTGTTTTACCATACAAAACACAGGCAAAGGATAATAAAAAGAAAATCAAATTTTTAACTGAAAGCTATCGAAAGTAAAAAAAAGAAAAAGCAAGTTAGTATTTTAAAAGAAAATCAAATTTTCTCTCAGCGGATTTGCTCATAATTCAACAACATATTCAAGAATTCGCCGTCTTTTTCGAATTTATCCGAACAAAACCGTTAAGATTCCGTCAAAAGATCCTAACTCAGAAAATTCGCCGTCTTTTTCGAATTTATCCGAACAAAACCGTTAAGATTCCGTCAAAAGATCCTAACTCAGAATAAATCATCACCAAATCCAACAGAATTTACCTCAATCAACGGCGAAAAGAACGGCGGAGAGCTCTCTCTGAGAAAAACCCTAGCTACTAGATGAAGACGGAGGCGGCGCAGATCACTAGGAAGTAGCAAGTTCTTGACTCCTTCAAATGTCGTTGCTGGATCTTCGAAGCCATCGGATTGTGATCTCCAACAAAGCTGCAGATTTTAGGGTTGAGGCGGCGGAGGAGGAGGCGGTTGAGACGGCAGAGGAGGAGGCGGATGAGGGATTGGGGTCGGGATTGCGCCGTTGCGGATTGGGGACGACTGGACGAGATTGGGGTTTTAGGGTTTCGGTTTGGGCAATAAGGGCGGGCGGGCAAATGGGTTATTATAGACCGCCCATTTAGCACCCATTTAGTATTATTGAAAATACACCCGCCCGATTAGGTCCATTTAACTAAATGGGTGGGTTTTGGGCGGGCTAGTTAATGGGTGGGCCGGGTGGGTAAATGGGTATGGGTTAAAATTGACATCCCTAATTTCCCTGTAGGATCACTCAAAGAAAGATGCGAGTGAAGGACTCAAGATGAAAGACCCCGAAAGCAAGATTAATGCTTTAATATCTGCTCAAGAGGTAAAGAAGACCGGTATTCCACGTTCTTATCCGAGGGAATGAGAATCAAATCCGTATCCGGCAAAGTTCAACCTGATTAACTTTACGCCATTCGACGGAAGAGGTTCACCCACCCAACACTTGATTTATTTTAAGTCTCACCTAGGGATCATTTCAGGCAATGAACCTCTGATGGTACGATCATTTGTGGGAACTCTTCGCGCAGCTGCCTTTGATTGGTACCGCCGACTCAAGCCAGGAAGTATCAATAGCTGGGATGATATGGAGATTAAGTTCCTCACCAACTTCTTCGATGATGACACTGAAGTCTCGATTGGAACACTCTTTGATGAGAAGCAGAAAGACGGAGAACTAGTTGAGAACTTCGTTAAGCGTTTCCGAAATAAGACGATGAACTGTCAAGATCCGGTCACAGAATAATTTATTCTACAAACGTGACACAACAACCTTTCCTTGGACATATTAGAAGTTATGGGCATGACACCATCCAAAACATGGAAAGAGTTGAAGGTACGACGGGAGCAAGCTGAACGCTTCCTTAAGAGGAAGAAAGCTGAAAGGGGTCAGTCGACCAATAATGCCCCAAAACAGAACTTCACCCCTCGTGGTAAAGGTAAGACGCAGTCAAATGCAGCGGAAGCAAATCAGACATTCCAATTACAACCCCAACAGTAGCCACAATAACAAATGCCAAAGCAATAAACACCTCGATGGCAATAACGGCCTCCAAGACAACAAAAGACTACTGAGCCAAAGTTCCCAAAAGAGTATTCTTTCAAGGAAGATGAGGTTCCTGGTATCTTCAAATACTTGTTGGAGAATGATAAAATTAAACTACCCCCAATAACTGATCATGAGGGGGTTAACAAGACTACAGATCCGCAATACTGTGTGTTCCACAGGACAGTCCACCATCTCACAAAGACGTGCTATGCTATCAAAGATAAAATTCAAACCCTAATTGATGTGGGTATTATCACTCCAAAGTAGCCCAAAGAAAAGAAGGTGGGTGCAAATGCAATTTCTATCAGCTTTGGCTCGGTTCCTATGTCATGGTTCCAACCAGAGCCTATGCCAAAAGTAAAGGTGAAAACTATTAACGATGATCCCATGGTTCCAACCAGAGCCTATGCCAAAAGTAAAGGTGAAAACTATTAACGATGATCCTCATGGACAACGCCAGAAGGGACTTGTAGCCTATGCCAAAAGTAAAGGTGAAAACTATTAACGATGATCCTCATGGACAACGCCAGAAGGGACTTGTACAACACACGGCTCCTAATGGTAAAATTCTTTAGGTCCATCCAGATTTGCTCAATGATGAGAAATGGGCATGTTCCTCATCTAAGAAGAAGTCCAAAAGTTGGGGAAAATTCTGTTGTCCTGCTACATCAATTCCTGAAAAAGATGATGATGGCATTTCTACTTTATCACTTTCTGAGGACGAACAAGAAGTTTTCGCTACTAGGGGTGGGAACGAGTACCACTACAAGTATCCTGGAGCCTCCGACCCAAATGCTAAAACGTTGAATGAGCTAGGGGTGACTACAACTCCCCCTGCACCTACAGGGAAATCCCAGAAACAACCAGCTAATAAGCAAAAAGGAAAAGAACCCCAACACCAGGAGGTTCAAAACCCAAAGCAGGCTCGATTCAATCGTCCGATTGGGAGAGATAAACTGGGGAGTTCAAGCACACAATACTGCTTCGACGTTATGACTCAGCTAGCCAACATCCCAGCGAGAATAACCCTGTACAAATTGGTACGCCTCTCTAAAGATACGAGGGAAGCCTTGCAAGAAGCCTTGGCTGATACCGACGTATTCCTCACTCACATCAAACCAGTTCCCAAAGATCCGAAATTACCAATTCAATACTACGATTTGACGACCAAGCAGTTCCCTTGCATAACATTCACCAAAGATGACATGCAAGGCAGAAACTCAAAACACGATAGGCCTTTGTACTTCACTGGATACATAGGCTCCAGCGTTGTCAACCAGATCCAACTCGATCTGGGTTCCGCTATCAGCATCATGCCACTCCGACTGATGTACAATCTTAGGATCACTACAAGCAGGTTATCTTCGACAGGCACCGTCATCTAGGGATTCAATACCAACGGGTCCAGACCATTAGGCAAAATTCGGATAAAATGCCAACTTGGAGATTTAAAATCCGAAGTCACGTGCTACGTGATCGATACTGAAACCTCCTATAATTTACTATTGGGTCGACCCTGGATCCATAGTAATTTTATAGTCCCCTCCACTCTTCATTAGTGTCTAAAATATGTAGACGCTAATTATAAGATAAGGACGGTGATCGCGGATAAGTAACCGTTTAAGAGGTTAGAAAATTATTTTACTAACTCCCTTCTGTATGGTGCTGAATCCGACACTGAATCATCGGCCCAAGACACGGACAACAGAGAGGAAGCTAATACCGAAGCTAGGCTTGATTACAATGGCGGTTTTGTACTGAATGAGATTGTACCCTTTGTAATCAGTCCAGACAACGGTGAATCGTCAGACAATAGTTGTAATTGGAAACTTGCCAAAGAAGTAATAAACGATTACTTAGAGTACTCTTTGTGTCTAGATGATGTAATGCAGGAATTATACGAGAACCCTGACATACACATGCCGCTTCGGTCATCCTGCTTAACATCAAAGCATGTCCAAGGCTCATTCGGAACAACCCTCGTCATTCTTGCCAAGGCAGTGTGTGGAAAGGATTTAGTTTTTGGCAAAGGGAAGACGTTCCTATCGTCAAATCCATTTTTGAAGGAAAATAATGATGAAGAGAAACCCGGACCTCATCTCTCCAAGTATAGTTAACAATCGCGTGATTTAATAAAGAAATGGGGATATAATTTCACACTTGAAGAAGGTCTCTGTTTTGGTCGAGGCCCACGAGTCCCACCTCGTTCGTCCTATGTACCGAAAGGAAAACCCGATAATTACTATAGCTATAAAAGGGGCCTAGGCTATGCTTCTTCATCCGATGAAGAATGTTGCTGGCAAGTCATCGATCAATTAACAAATAAGGATGGATACTCATCCGATTCTTCCGATTAGGACTCCGATGTTAGCCTTGGAAAAATATTCAAAAGCTTGATGTCGAATATGGACACGGTCGATCCTGCCACGATAGAGGAAGACGATCAATTGCTAACTTGGGAAAACCGGTGGATTCATCACCTGAATATTCAGTATGGGGATCGTTTCGAGCAAAGGGAACCACCCACCGAAGACAAAGTAATCCAGGTAAACATGGGAGACAAAGAAAATCCAAAATCCATATTCGTCAGTGATAGTCTTCCACTAGACGAGAAGGAAAATTGATTGCCATCATTAGGTAGTACATAGACGTCTTCACTTGGAACTACGATGATATGCCAGGACTTGATCCAAATGTGGCGATGCACTGTCTCAACATCAAATTGGATGCTAAACCCGTCAAACAGGTGCAGAGACGATTTCGTCAACAGATTATGGAGGCAATTGAGAGAGAAGTTAAGAAATTGATTGACTCTAGCTTTATCAGAGAAGAGCAACATCTCAATTGGCTGGCGAATATCGTATTGGTCCTTAAAAAGAACGAGAAAATCAGGATCTGTATCGACTTCAGAGACTTGAACACCGCTTGCCCAAAGGATGATTTTCCTCTTCCAATCATGGATGTTATTGTCAATAACAAGTGCGGATTTGAGAGAATGTCCTTTATGGATGGATTTTCGGGTTACAATCAAATAAAGATGTACCCGGACAACGAAAAAACACACCGCATTCAGAACTCCTCTCGGGGTCTTCTACTACACGGTTATGCCTTGCGGATTGAAGAACGTAGGTACAACCTATCAACGAACGATGTCAATGATTTTCCAGAAACACCTCTGGAAAATCGTCGAATGTTATGTTGACGACCTAGTCGTGAAAAGTCGTAATAAAGATGATCATATCAAAGATTTGAGGACGATGTTCAATCTCATGCGCACTCACCAGTTAAAGATGAACCCCACTAAGTCTTTCCTCGGAATGTCCAGCGGTAAGTTTCTAGGATTCGTCATCACCATGAAAGGTATCTGTATTGATCCCGACAAAGTGAAAGCAATAAACAAATTACAACCCCTGAGAAACTTTAAAGAACTCAGAGGATTGCAAGGGCGACTAGCCTATATTCATCGTTTCATCTCGAATCTATCCGGGAAATACCAACCGTTTTCCAAACTCATCAAGAAGGGTGTGTCATTCATTTGGGATGACGTGTGTCAAAAGGTATTCGAAGATATCAAAGAATATCGGGCGAATCCTCCTATTCTCGTAGCACCGAAGTCAGATAAACCGTTCTTGATTTAAATTAAAGCGATGAACCACTCGTTAAGTGCTTTTCTCGCACAAGACGATGACAACAGTCACGAACAGGCCGTCTATTACTTAAGCCAAACTTTAATAGGTGCTGAATCTCGGTATCCAATGATTGAGAAAGAATGTCTCATTTTGGTATTCACCATCCAAAAGATGCGACACTATCTTGTTGGACAGACAATCTACGTTATTTCAAACGTTAACCCAGTTTGGGATTCATGACACAACCGGCCTCTATGAATTAGAGATTAGCAAAATGGGCCCTACTTCTGTCCCCATATGATTTGCACTTCAAACAACAGGAGTCAGTCAAAGGACAGGCGATTTGCGATCTTTTGGCAGCTAACCCTACAACTGATATAGCCGAATTG